ACACACCCTCCTCTCCCATCCACCTATACACGCTCTCCTCTCCTCCCACCAACACACCTCTCCTCCCGCATCATCTAGCCCGACCCTGTGCCTCGACCGCCCCCCGCGCAAGGGAAACCCTGGCTTCTCTATTTACGGGTTGAATTAGAGTAGAGAGAGGGAGAAGGAAGAGAGAAAGGAAGAGAGAGAGGGGGGGAGGGAAGGAGGGAGAGCGAGCGAGAGAGAGAAAAAGGAGGGAGGGAGGGAGGGAGGAGAGAGCAAGTGAGTGAGTGAGCGAAAGAGAGAGAGAGAGAGAGAGGAAGAGAGGGAGAGATAAATAGATAGATGGATAGATAGATAGAGAGGATATTAATAATGATAATAATAATAAGAAAACTTTATACAAATACATATATACTTTATACAAATAAATATAATTATAATCATATCTACAGGAGCATATAACATACACATAAAATTAATCCAAAAATATTTCATTGAAAGAGATTGTACATTATGCTCTGCTTAATCATAAAATGACATCCATACAGATATAATGAATATTCTCACCTTTGTAGGATGCAAAATTACCACAGATCAATCATAATCACAAATTCATATATTGGTTCAATTTTGTTAAATAGGATTGATTTAAGTTCGTACATATTTCTAACTTAGGATTCATATATTTGATGTAATACATTAGCCTTGCTACGTAAAGAAGGGAGGGGGAGAAAGAGAGAGAGAGAGAGAGAGAGAGAGAGAGGGGGGAGGTAGGGAGAGAGGGAGAGAGAGAAAGAGAGAGAGAGAGGAAAGGAGGGAGAGAGAGGAAGAGAGGGAGGGAGAGAGAGATAGAGATAGATAGATTGATAGAGAGAAAGGAAGGATAGGAGAGAAATAAAGAGAGAGGGGGGGTAGGAAGGGAGGGAGGGAAGGAGAGAGAGAGAGAAAAAGAAAGAGGGAGGGAGGGAGAGAGGGAGAGAGGGAGAGAGGGAGGAGGGAGGGAGAGAAAGAAAGAGAGAGAGAGAAAAAAAGAGAAAGACATAAATCTATATATACATATGCATATATATATATATATATATATATATATATATATATATATATATATATATATATGTATGTATGTATGTATATATATATATATATATATATATATATATATATATATATATATATATATATAGAAATAGATAGATAGACAGATAGATAGCTATACATATCATAGATGAGAATAAAGAGGTAGACGCCGCAATAGGCCTATATAAATATGCATTTTATCAACAAATATGTAATCCTCTGTGGTTTTGTGGATAGCATGACTGCCTCTTAATCCGTTGACTCAAATTTACCATTTTTTCACACCCATATTTTCATTACCTACATTTTAATGTTTTTATAATGACTTGTTATTAACAGACGTAATCGTTACCGAATAGCATCAGACTATGAACAGGATTCTTACCTTACCGTCGCCCGTTATCATTTGCTGTTGCTTCCCACGAATGACGCAGAAAAATGCCCTTCTCAATTCCTCTTTTAGGTTTCATCTAGTAACTACAGTACATTTGGGAATATCACTTTCGTAGAATATGTGAATTTCTATAAGATAGAAGATGGAGATGTATATCAAGGCATATCAGTCTGTAATTAACCAACCTTTGTTGGAATTAGATTATGTCTGCATCGGCGCGCCTCCTATCAGTGCACCCAGGAGTTGTCCTCGACAATAAAACATTTATTTTCGCTGTGTACACACGGATCGTGGTACTTGTAATTTCATCTAGAATTCAAGCTGAAACAAACCACGCATAGCACAACAGGGTTCACAAACACTGCACAGCTTTTGTAGGTTATAATAAGAGTTATGGCGAAGCTAAGAGGCGATTCGACGTCCAGTTGGTAGCAAGGCGTTCGCGAATATATGAGCGAGAATTTTTACAAAGCGGAACAACAGCAGTATCACCATTAGTGTTCTCCTAATATTGTTCGCCATTACGATAATGGAAAGTTATGATTATCATGATATATATGACATTTGTTAGACAGTTATTATTTTCATGGTAAAGGAGGAGAGGGAAAGAGGGACGGGAAGAGAAAGAGAATGAGGCAGACGCTCGTCATTATTCTCGTATTTTCTTGGTTTATGAAATTTGTTCCTATCGAAATATCCTTATGGGCCGTCGCAACTAGTCTTGGCCGAGGCAGAAGGCCAGTATTTACAATGAATATCAAAGTAGTGCAGCAAACGTTAAATACAATAGTTTTGAATGCCAAAGTAAACTAAATTTGTAAAATATAGACAATATCACTGGACGGAAAGCGTTTTGGAATCAGGCGGATCATGAAAATTATCTTAATGACATTACTGAAACAGTTATGACAATGTTGTATTCCCTCCTGTTAAGAACCAGTGATAGCATAAAAAAGAAGAAAAAAAACAACAGACAAACAACATAGGAAAGAGGTAGGCGCTGCTATTTGTATATATAGAAATTCGCTTTCCTCTTAAATCATGTAAGTTCCTATGGTGTAATGGGTAGCAAGACTGTCTCTTAATCAGTAGACTGGGATTCAAATCCTGACTGCGGCGATTTTTTTTTTTCCAAACTCACATTATCACTTCGTAATCACTATTGTAATTAATATTCGTAATGGTTCCAGAATACTACCAGACTGTTGACAGGAACTATGAACTTACCTTCTAACTTTACATTTTGCTGTTGCTAGCCACGAAGGACAGAGAAATGCTCTTCTCAATTGCTATTTGACCTTTTACCTTGTAACTACACTGCAGTTGGCAATTAACACTTTCGTATTACACGTGAATTTCTATAAAATAAACGATGGAAATGTCCATTAAGGCATATCAAATAACTTCGCTGGATTAGATAACATAACTGGCTTCAAGTTATGATAATCATTACATATTTAACATTTGTTGGCCAATTATTGTTTTCATGGCAAAGGAGGAGAGGGGGAGAGAAGGAAGAGAGAGAGGGAGGGAAGAGAAAGTGGGAAAAAGAGAATAAAAGACGATTTCTATTCTATATTCTATTCCATATAATCTCTACCAGTTGTATAGGGAGAGAAAGAGAAAGGGAGAGGGAGAGAGAGAGAGAGAGAGAGAGAGAGAGAGAGAGAGAGAGAGAGAGAGAGAGAGAGAGAGAGAGAGGGAGAGAGAGAGAGAGAGAGAAGAGAGAGAGAGAGAGAGAGAGAGAGAGAGAGAGAGAGAGAGAGAGAGAGAGAGAGAGAGAGAGAGAGAGAGAGAGAGAGAGAGAGAGAGAGAGAGAGAGAGAGAGAGAGAGAGAGAGAGAGAGGAGGGATGAGGCAATGACGAGCCTTCCGTCCAAAGCGGTTGAAGTGCCATCGTCTCTGCACCATCGCCATGGTCTTTGTCATCGCTAGCGAAGCTTATCTGGAAACTGACGTGATGTTCCCGCTCACTTCCTTGTAGATCGAGACGATTCAGAGTTTGGCAATTCGTTGTATTGGTGCCTGCGTGTCAGCTAATCATTAAACAGGATTTAGAGGGAAGA